GGGAGAGAGAGAAAACCCACCGACCTCCCCAGTTCCGGCCTCTTTCCAATGGAGGAAAGGGGCCGGGGGGCTCGTTTCCAGGCCCCGCTCAACTTGTGGGTCCTGGGACGGTCGCGCGCCGCACCTCGCGCGCCTGCGCGGAACGGGCTGGTTCCCCGGCGGCCCTCGCCGCTCCATCACCCGGGCGGCCACCAGAAGTTTCCAAGCGGGTGAGAGGCTGGGCTACGGGACGGGGCTAGGGCCCTCTCGGCACTTACTTGGTATTCGATCTCCAGCGAGGCCTTCAGGGGCATGGGCTGGTAGAAACACTCCTTCCGGCCGGCCGGAAGGGTAAAGGTGAAGTCGCTGTCTAAGGAGGGGGTGAAGCCGGCCGTCCCCGGCAGCAGCACTGATGGCACCGCGGCCAAGAGGAGCACCGGGAAGGGCAGCCAGATCTTGTCGCCCATTCCTGCCGGGGCGGCTTAAGGCTGACAGGGCGTGGGAGGAGTGGGTAATGGGCGCCTACGCTCCGCGTTTTCTCCCTGGATTCCTCGTGGTTGGCAGAGAAACCTGGAGCCTGCAGAAGTTGGAGGTGGCGGCGGCAGAGGTTTCCTCTGAGGGCAAAACACAGTGCTCGGAAGGGTAGGGACTGAGGGCGGGGCCAGCAGTCCCTTTCCGCACCCTCCTGGGTCTCTGCCCCTGCAGGCGTGAGCTCGGCCCACCTCACAGCCCGACGGCCGCAGGTTCCCTGGCTTCTCCACGCCACTGGGCGTCGTGGAGGCGGTTGTGGGAAATGTAGTTCGTAGCGTGCTTGGAGCCGGGCTCGACAGCGCTGGCGGACTACCATTCCCGACAGGCCCTGGGCCTCTGGCTGCCTGACGCTGATTCGGCGGGAGGGCAGAGCTGAGGCGGGGGAGACGCGTTCTCAACGGTTCCCGCGGCGGTTCGAAGCCCGCGCGTCGGGCGTTCGCTGGTTCTCCGTTTCGTGCGTTTGACGCTTCCAAGTCCGGGACCGGAGACGTGCCGAGCCTGAAGCCCGGAGTGCGCAGCTGTCGGGAGTTCCTTCTCCTCCGCTAGGATTCGGGCGGTGAGCGACGGCCGCTGGGCGGGTGGAAACCCGCCTCCTTGGAATGTTGTTCTGTTCCTCGCGGCTGGCCGCCGCGGACGGGGCCCGCCCGCCGCGCCCCGCCTGGGCCCGGCCCACGCTGAGCACGCTGCTCGTTAGAGTCTGCTTGACGAGCATTTTAGTTGCGGGAAAGTCGGAGAGGAGGAGTTCATTTCCCCCCTGCCGCTGCTTCTCGTTTTACTTTTATTAGATGCAGATAGTGTGAGCTCTGTCAAACTGAGCGTTCTTCAGTCAGAACAATGCCATACAAAGCGACGACCTCGTTATAAAATTCTGCAGCCATCCGATTACATTTGTGGAGTGGGGAGAGAGCACGACACTACTGCGGTGTGATGGGATGTTTGCGTGAGCACACCTAGAAACACCTTGTTCTTGGGCTACAAAATGACCTTGTAAGGACCCATACATAGCATGATGTGCCTTTTCACCTATCGGAGGCAATCCAGATAGACTTCTTTACCTACTGCAAGTCGAATGGAGGGCAATCCTTTGTCAATAAATGGCCCATTAGGGAAAACCCCAGAAACGTAAGTAGCAAGAGTTAGATAGGGATATTGCTGCTTGAGACGAGTTAGAGGACTTTTCACAGTAAGTTACATGCAAGTGGTTAGAAAGGACGTTTGCTTTAGGTGGAAACAATGCCAAATGGCATTTTAGAACTGGTCCAAATTTCCTCTTTTTCCCTTTCAACATCCTACAGGGAACTGGCAATGTGAAAGAAAGCAAGCAGGATGGGGACCTGATTCATGACCTTCTGTCTGGCAGAGAATTCTTAAAGCGGAATCAAATTTGTGGGAGCAAAAGGGAAGAAAGGATAGATCTGCCCATTCAGATCAGTCTAACATCTCATTGAATTTCGTGCCACAGTCTGAAGAAGGTGAGAGTTTGCTTTCTAACCTTCTTTCACAGCTGCGAAATTCTGAGTGGGGAATACATCTCTCAGGAAGGGTAGTTTTGTAAACCTTTATTCCTTCAACAAATGTACGTGTCTTATGGTCCAGATAAGACTCCCAAAGACTCCTAACCATCTAGAACTCGAGTCAGGATGCTAAGAATGGCAATGAAAGATGCTTCATGACAAAGGTAAATGAGATCTGAAAGGAATGTCATTTTTAGATTGCCCAGAAATATCTAAAGCAGTAAGGACTAGAAAGCTTTAGTTTTAATTAATTATGGAAATAAAACCTGGAGGTTTTGAATGTGCAAGTAGTATTTAGTAGAGTTTCCCAACTTTATCTATACTCATAAATTGAAAAAAAAAAAGCCAAAACTTTTCTGACTGTATTGCCAAATGTCATTTGGACCTCTAATTGCAACAAATGAATGTTTTAAAATTTTTATAGCTGTTATGAATGGCAGATAGGTATAACCTTTATTTGACAATAAGTTTCTTCCGAAAAAAATAGTGATTTTTTTGGGGGGGGTGTAATGTTAGCATTTTATCAGATGTCCAGTAATTGTGACCTGATTATGAAAGTTCAAATACTCTGTGTTGAAACTGATGTGTAGTATAGGGGAAGTTTGGTGACGCAATGAAAAGGTCTATGGATCCAGAGACTTAAGTCCTGGTTTCACCGTTTGTGTCACTTTGAGGAAGTGCTTTAGCTTGTCAGACTCTTAGTTTCTTCATCTTTAAGATAGGATAAGAAATAGTTTATGGAATGTATTATGTTCAGTAAATGAATCAGAGACCCTGGTGGCACAACCATGTAAGCATTTGGCTGCTAACCAAGAGGTTGGTGGTATATTGGGTTGAGATGAGTCAGAATCAACTCAATGGCAGTGAGTTTGGTGTTTGGGGCTTTTTTAACCTTCTTTATTTGGCAATCTGTAAACATTGCAGCTTGTGAGACGTAGTTCTGCTCTGTTACATGGGGTCACTACAAGTTAAAAATCAACTCCATGGCACCTAACAAAAACAGTAAGTAAATAAGACTAAACTTGGTAAAAATAATACGAACTTAATCCAAAGAATTTGTATTTAGAACTTTGTGTTATGTTTGTGCATTTCAGAGAATATATTGAGTTTTTTGTTTATTTTATACCATCATGAAGATTTCACACACTTGAAATAGAAAAATAATGAGTTAAATTTAATTCGTGTGAAAGTGTTTTGAATGACACTACAGAATCCTTCAGGGAAGATAAAAGATTTTTTTTTGAGAAATGGAATCTAATTCATCATACTACTGTAATAAAGACAATGAAGAAGAAAGTTTGCTTGCAAATGTTGCTTCCTTAAGACATGAACTGAAGATAACAGAATGGAGTTTGCAGAATTTAGGGGAAGAGTTATCTAGGTAAGTAAGTAAAACCAAAAACCTTTAATTTATGAATGTAAAATGTATGAATTTCATTACATCTCACATTATGCCTTTAAAACAGTTAATTTTTTTAACATTAAATATGTCAGTTTAGGGCAAAATAGGAATATTAGAGAAGCATTTATATGTTAAGTAAATACCTTTAACATTACATTTCAGTACAAAATGTTTTGAGCATAGTTAATCTTACAATATTATGACTTTTCAAGAAAATCATTATTTAATCCCAGTGTGGAGACTGTAAATTTATGTGTTTAAACTGGTTTATTAAAAAATTATTGGAACCATTAAGTTCATAGCTATATCTAAATGACTCTAGTATTTCAGGTGCTATTCTTTTTCCCATTTACTGTATAAAAATTTATAGTGGATACTTAAATTACTGAAAACTAAATAAGTTTTTTCTTTTTTCCCCCCTAGTGTTAGTACAAGTGAAAATTCTGATTACACCTGTAATCCCTCAAGATTTGAAAGGCTCATTTTAGAAGATCTTGCTCAACCTGGCCACTCTGGACCTTTGAATTATTTACCATACAAAAAAACTTGTAAACTACCTGGTGGCAATACTGAATGTCATAAAAAGCCAAGAGATAAGGTTATTGATTTTTAGTCCTATCTACTTAAAATATTTTCTTTAAATACCTCTTCCAGTTCTACTGTGGTGTTGAAGACTTGTTGAGTTTAAATGCAATCAATATTTCCCAGGATTATGAATAAATGATTGTCTCACTTAGGGGCAGCTTATTATTGCCCTTTAATTTAATATGCACTCACACACAATTTTGTATATGTGTACATTTTGTGTGTGTGTGTGTGTGTGTGTGTGAACCCTGATAACATAGTGTTTGCTCATTGGCCTGCTAACCGAAAAGTTAGTGGTTCAAAAACATTAGCCCATTCTCTGGGATAAAGATGGTTTGTACTCCTGTAGAGAGCGTCTCAGAAGCTCACATGGGCAGTTCTACTCTGCCCTGTAGGGCCTCGATGCGTTGAAGTCGACTTGATGGACTTGATGGCAGCGAAGGGAGTGATATATATGAGGGGTTACCCCCCCCCCAAAAAAAAAAAAAAAAACGGAAAAAAGTACTGGGTGGGGCTTTCGTAGTTCGCATTTTTCCCACTGGGTGAGCAACTTGGTCTGAATTAGTACACGCAGTGGCATCTCCTGGGAAGGTTCTCTGGTCACAGTGAACTTTTTCATAAAAGCAGTTTTGCTTGAACCTCGTTTTTTGTGACTGCCAACTTAAGAGAACTGCATGGGACTGAAACTTTGTTTCCTGGCCAGAAAAATGTTGCAGAAACTATTGTGGTGTTGAGCACTGCTTACAGGGACGGTGCTATGGGAAATACTCAAGTGTATGAGTGGTTTTCTCATTTCAAATAAGGTGCACTGTTGATTGATAACAAACCTTGTCCTGGACTTTTGTCAACTTCTCCAATCGATGGAAATATTGACAAAATTGGTGCACTTGTGCTCGAAGACCTATGAAGGACCACTGAAAAGATGGGGAACTTACCTGGACTATCTTGGAGGGTGGATCAGCGAAATCTAACAGAATATTTGAAAACGAGAAGGGCTACTCTGAAATTTGTGCCTCGGGTTCTGACTGACCAGGAAAGAGTGTGGAGTGGAAACGTGCCATGCTTTGAAAGAACAACTCTGAAGCGACCCAGACTTTTTCCAAGGTTGTTACTGGTGAGGAGACATGGTGCTATTCTTAGGGCCCCAAAGCAAACAGCAAGCCAGCGGAAGACGCTATCGACACATCCAAAGAAAGCTCGTCAAGTGCAATCAAAGATCAAGATGATGTGCGTTTGTTTTGTTTTTTTATATGAGGGGGACATTGCATTTGTAGTTTGTTCCACTAGGTCATACTGTTAATCAAGCTTTCTATTTAGAGGTTCTGAAAAGATACCGTAACATTGTGTGACAAAAAAGGGCCCAATTTGTAGCAGAAGGGACTGGTTTTGCCACTACCACAATGCACTTCCTCATTCAGCTATCTCTGCGCCAATTTTTGGCAAAAAACAGCATGCCTCTTTTGCTCCACACACGGTACTCACCTGACCTCACTCCATGTGATTTCTTTTTTCTCGAATGAAGAGAGACATGAAAGGACAGCAAATTAACAAAGTGGAAGCGGTGAAGAAAAAAACAAGGGAGGTGCTGTCAGCCATCCAAACAGATGAGTTTGAAAATTGTTTCCAAGAATGGACTCACAGATTTGACAAATATATTAAGTGTAATGGAGAGTACTTTGAAGGTGATAAGGTTGTTTTGTAAAAAAATTTAAAACATAGCTTTTGGGGAAAAGAAATCCTTTTTTGGGGGGGTGAGTACCCCCCTCATATATGTAAAATTATATATTTATCTATTTTTCTTTGAAAGAATTGAACCAGTCTTAACCTATTACCAACAGCTTTTTTCATCACCGTCACCTTTACTTACCGCACAGTCACCTTTACTTACCGCATGTGCAGCTTTTAACTAATTGAAAAATCTTCAAGCCTTTTCTTATACTAAGACTTACAGCTTTAAAGTCAATACCAACTCACAGCGATCCTATAGGTCTGAGCAGAACTGACTGATAGGATTTAAGACCCTATAAATCATAATGGAGATTGACTGTCTGTAGCAGCGTATGGGGTCAAAACACTCTTCTTTTGCCTAGCAGCCAATGCTTAATCCACTATACCACCAGAGCGCCTTTTTTTTTTTTGGACTGAAACGAAAAGAAAAAAACCCCCAACACAGCAGCATCTAGTCAGTTCTCACCCATGTGACCCCTATAGTCCAAGTTCAACTACCTCACTACCCCATGGGTTTCCAAGACTAGCTCTTTACAGGAGTAGAAAGCCCTGTCTTTCTTCCATGGAACGCCTGGTAGTTTTGAACTGCCAACTGCGGATTGTAGTTGTTACACCTGAGGTGTAGCTACTGTACCACCAGTGCCCCTCTTCTTCCACTAAATAAAGGACAAATAACCAACTGCCTCTTTTTGAGCTTTCCTACAAATATGACAGAAAAGCACTTGGGAGTGGAGAAGTTTTCACCTGCGCACCGCTTATAATTATTGCTTGTTACTTTCTAACAGAGTGGTTACTTTGGTGTATTATTAGGAGCCCTGGTGGCATATGCTAAGAGCTCAGTGGGAGAAAAGACTAGGCTTTCTACTCCCAGGCTTTGTACTCCCTGCTGCAGTTAGTCTTGGAAACCCATAAGCCATTTAACTCTGCTCTATTAGGTATCTATGAGTCAGAATTGACTTAATGGCAGTAAGTTTGTCTTAAAGTTTAATGTATTAACTGTATTTTAAGTTTCTGTATTCATTTACTTTTTACAGTTGATGTTTTGTCAAGCAAATTATAATCTCTCTGATTTTTAGCCCCACATTCTGTATATGAAAAGGTAGTTCTTTACTAAATGTTATCTCATGATAATACGGCACATTTCATTACATCCATTTATGGGTTACGGATTGACCTGCTAACCAGAAAGTCAATGGGAGAAAGGTGAGGCCTCTGTCCCACAGAGCTGCGGTCTCGGACATTGAGCAGGCAGTTCTCGGTCTTCGAGGGTTGCTGTAAGTTGGAAGTGAGTAGCGGGCAGTGAGTTTGGTTAGTTTTTTGGGGGAACTTTTGTCAATTAGAACTTTTTGTCTGAAAATTTTTACGTGTATCTTTCTTCCTTATAAGCCTGTGCCATTGTATTTAATAAAACTCCGTCCCTTCTCAGCCATTTTATCTCCCTTTCCACTCTCTCCTTTATGATATTTGTCATCCTACCTGCCCTTACATGTGCACACAGGCCCGATTTCATATATACATCATAATCTTTTAAAAATAAAAATTTGCCCTTCTGACCTCCGAGACCTGGCTAATTGGAGGATTTAAAGATAGTAAAATCAATGTAAACAAATGTTTTAAAACACACAACTCTCATTGAAAGTATAATAAAAAATATATACAAAAGAATATAGTAAAATTTATAGAGTTTAAAATAAATGTTGTCATTTTATTGTTGGTGAACATTGAGTTCTTTCCATTTACTGTCTCATGTCACTATACATATGGGACAGCAAATGGAAGTAAAGGTTTCCATAAAGATTACAGCAAAGAAAGCCCTACGAAACTGTTCTACTAAGGTAACATGTGAAGTGGGGTCAACTTGGTAGCTGACAACAATGGACAATGTCGTTATGTGTGTATCTGTTAGTGCCAAAGTAAAATTTTCTAGCAGCTTTATATGCAGTCTTGATATTGCTGGATCGCAGCATGTTTCACTTCACAAGGTAATGCCAAAAGTGGGCCACTGTTCCCAAGGTGTTCTTAAGGACACCATCTTCCGCAGAATACAGAGTACTTCCTGCCTGGCATTCCTGCTAACCCTCCTTATGTATCTTTAACTTCGTTATCTGAATTTGTAGTAACTTTTCATTAACTATATGCAGTGCTTAAGTAATCCAAAATAGATTGTTCTTCATTTTTTAGGTATCTTTTGTATCTCCTACCCCTATGGATCAGGAAATTAAGAACCTTCGAGAGAAACTTAATAAACTTAGACAACAGAATGCTTGTTTGGTCTCACAGAATCATTCTTTAATGACCAAAATAGAATCTATCCACTTTGAATTAACACAGTCAAAAGCAAAAGTAAGTATCTACAAGTGATGACTGTCAATGTAATTAATCATTTATAGATTTATAATTGGGAAAATATTCCTTATATTACTTTAATGTGTTCTTATAGCAATTTTTAATGACAATTTAGTGTTAACACGTGGAATCAGAATCATATGTGAATTCTTTTCTGAAAATGATTTAGGAGGACATGCACGGTTTTGAGTAGACCTGTTGGCACAGGGTTAAAGTGTCCACCTAGCTACTCACCAAAAGGTTGGCAGTTCCAACTCACCAGCTGCTTTCCAGGAGAAATAAGTGACAGTCTGCTTCCATAATCATTAAGTCTCAGACACCTGCGGGACAGTCCTGCTGTGTCCTGTAGGGGAGCTCTGAGTCCGAATTGCCTTGATGACCACTGGCTTGTCCAGTCTGGGCATCTGGATGCATCAGAGTGTTTGATAATCTTAAAGTTACCTGTTGTGCAGTTTTATTTCCCATGCAGAACAAGTATAACTTACTAAAAAATAACATTTTGTTGTTGAGACATAAACATTAGAAGGTAGAGATAGCAAATCATTTAAAAAATATATCACTTTCAAACTGGATAACTTTGTTTTTTCCTTAGGCTTTTACTTCACTTTATTTTATTTTTTGTTAAAAGATCGTTTTATTGGGGGCTCTTACAACTCTTATGTAACAACCCATGCATCAATTATATCAGGCATATTTATACATATTGTGGCATCATTCTTTTCTAGACATCTAATTTGTATTGAGCCTTTGGTATCAGCTCTTCTTTTTTCCCCTCTCTCCCCACTTGACATTTTTGATGTGGTTATTTTTTTTCTTATGGTAGAATAACATTTCCTTAGTTAATTATATTATAATTTAGTTAATTTACCTATTTAAGTGGTTTCCTATTTGCTGTAAATTAGTGCTATACAAAACGCTGAAGACGAATGTGTGCATAAGTAAGTGTGGTGAAAAAGGCTGATGGTGCCCGGCTATTGAGACCTATAGCGTCTGGGGATTTAAAGGCTTGAAAGTAAACAAGCTGCCATCTAGCCTAGAAGCAACAAAGCCCACATGGAAGCAGCACACCAACATGTGTGATCATGAAGGGCCAAAGGGACCAGGCTTTAAACACCAGAGGTGGGGAGGGGGAATCATATCCTCATCAATGAGGGTGGCGCGTGATGGAGACCCAAAGCCCATCTCTAGACAATTGGACATACCTCCAGAGGGGTAGTGGGGAGATGAGTCACTTAGGGTACAGTATAGCAATAACGAAACCCACAACCTTCCTCTGGTTCTTAAATGCTTCCTCCCCCCAACTACCAGGACCCCAATATTGCCTTGCAGACCTGGTTAGACCAGATGATGCACAGCGGTACAGATGGGAATTGGAAACGCAGGGAATCTAGAACAGATGAACCTCTCAGGACCAGGGGTGACAGTGGCGATATCAGGAGGGAAAGGGGATGAAGAAAGGGGGAATGGATCACAGGGAGCTACATATAACCTACTCTCTGGGGGATGGGCAGCAGAGGGGTGGGTGAAGGGAGACGCCGGACAGTGTAATATAAGATACAATAATAATTTATAAATTATTAAGGGTGCATGGGGGAGAGGGGAGGAGGAAGGGAAAGGGAGGGGGAAAAAAAGGAAAGTGAGCTGATTCCGGGAACCCAAGAGGCAAGCGAATTTTGGGAATAATGAGGGCAACAAATGTATAGATGTGTTTTATACAATTGATCTATGTATTGTGATGAATTGTATGAGCCCCAATAAATTGATTAAAAAAAAAATTAGTGCTATACAAAAAAAGTAGGAAAGAGCCAAAATGTCTATTAATAGAGTAATGGTAAACTATGCTATATCCATATAATAAGTTGCTCCAAATCTATTTCAAATGAGGTAAATATGTCAGTATTACGATGCAAAGTTATTTGATCTTTATGCAATTCTGATTTTAAATGATATATATATATAAAGGTACTTTGAACTGTATCTGCATTTAGTATTCAAAAACTGTTACCTAATACACTTAGTGGTAGAGAAATGTTTTTTATGTTTATACACATAATCTAGTTTTGCTTTTTATAAAACATGCATATGTTTTTATAGAATATGCACATAAATATACACTGTGTTTGTGTAGTTGTATATGGAAATATATAAAGGGGGACCGTCAAGCAGTTCATAGAAAAATGAAAAAGATAATGGATTTCTCCACAAACTTTATGAAACCCCCTCATACATGTGACACGTATAAAGATGACTGTGTATACCCTACACTCATGGACAATTCTGAAATTGGAAATTCTAAAGTGAAGCTTTGCATGCTTTGTTTTAACTAGTAGAATTGTTCAGAGAGCTGTATTTTCCTTTTCTATTTTTCATACAAAACAAAGTGCTTTTGGGGATGATTCCAGACAAAGGAGAAGAAATCACTGTAACAAATGTACAACTTTGGGTGTTTGGGTTATTTTTATGATAGATTCTTCCAGGTATTTCCTGTGCTTTATCTACCCTTAGTTGTATCTATTATTTTTATTATTCCGAGGGAAAATATTTTGTTTTTCATTGTTTCTCATGAAGTTTAACTTTTTAGGATAAATTGTTTGCCTTTTAGATTCGCTTGAGATATGCTTTTGCTTCTCTGTAGTTATTATATAAGGGGGGGAGGACTTAAACAATTTATGAAGAAAATGGAATTTCTCCCAAAACTTTTGAAACCTCTCCTTTATTTTCTCATCAACTATAGAGGAGCTAGCTTTTTATTTTTTTAATTATTATTATTTTTAATCATTTTATTGAGGGCTCGTACAACTCTTATCACAATCCATACATCCATCCATTGTGTCAAGCACATTTGTACATTTGTTGCCTTCATCATTCTAAAAACATTTGCTTTCTACTGAGGAGCTATCTTTTTGAAGTCATAGTTGCTTTATTATTTCAAGTCAGTGAAGATCAAGGAGTTTAATTAATGCTTGTCAACTAACAACATTTTGGTCACTTTCTACCCAGACATTTATATTTTACTTCATGTATTAGCTTTTATGTTGCACATGCGCCCTTATGGAAGTCTTTGGCTGAAATCCTCTGTTGTGTTAATTAGTGTAGTCAGAACTTAATTTTTGGCAGTGTTTTGGTTGCGCTTCTGGAACCTGGCATCCAGTTTTTCTGAGCTTGTTGCCTGTAGGTCTGCCTCTAGCTCCCATCCGGGACTGCTCATTCATTGCTGTCTTCGAGATGGGATCTTCTGTTTCCTGGATCCGACGTCTTCTTTCTGGGTTTTCTCCTTTTCTAATTGGAGCACATGTCTGAGGAGCCTCTTTGCTTCTCTGTAAATGTCTTAATGTCTCCTTGCACCTGAGTGAATTCTAGGTTGAAATGTATTTTATCACAGAAATTTGAAGGCATAGCTTTCTTGTTTAGCCTCTTGTGCTGCTCTGAAAATTCTGGTGGTGTTGTGACTGCTTTGCTTTAGCATATAATCTGCTTTTTATTTCACATCAGGTAGTTTTTAGGGTTTCATCTATGGTGTTTTCAAATTTCATCATGATATGCCTTTAAATAGTACATTATTTATGGTGCTAACCCTTTAAGGCTGCCCTCTAGCCCTGGAGAGTGTTCTTACACATTAAAAAACAAAACAAAATGTACATATGTGCTGGACACAATGGATGCATGTATGGATTGTGATAAGAATTATACGAGCCCCCAATAAAATGATTAAAAACACACACACACAGGATGGTTTTCTTACTTTTGGGTTTTCTATTAGTGAAGATTGGACCACCTGAGTTTATCCTCTAAATTTGTTCAGTTCTCTCTGTTTTCCATCTCCTTGTCGTTTGGTTAATGGAGTCCTGTGCTACAACTTGGCATTCTAACTACAAGATCAGCAATTCAAAACTACCAGCTGCTCTGTGGGAAAAAGATGAGGCTTTTTACTCCAGTAAAGATTTACAGTCTCAGAAACTCGGGGACACGTCTCGGTCTTACAGGGGACTGGATGGGCATTGAGATTTTTGTCTTCGGAGGGTACTTTTTAGAGGGCTTCTTCAGCTCTATGTTCAACACATCTATTGATTTTTTTTATTTATTTCTTATTTGTTCATTTGTTTTGCAAAGTTTTTGCTCTTTGCTTTGTATTTAATGATAGCTAGATGTCCAGTACCTTCTCATTTCTAAAGATTTAATGAGTGTGGGTATGTTTACTTGTTAATCTTTGCTTTGCTTTGGTTTCTAACCTTCATGTTAGATGCCTTCTTAAGATGAGGGGTTGGGCTATTTATATTTTAAGGGAAAGTTGCTTAAACATTGTTGGGCCACTCTGTGTGCAGTGATGAAATTGGTTGTATAGGGTACTTCATTTTGGTGTGATGTGAGGAGATAGGTCTTTGGTAGAGAGAAACCAGCCCTTTTCCTAGTCTATATCATGTGACACTTCTTTCTCTGCAGCTGTTGATTTTCTCCAGCATAGAATCGTTTGCTCTCCTACCTCTCGCTAGCCCTGAATGAAATGGAGTAGCAAACTTAACTTGGGACTCTTTTGTACTATTCCTCCTGTTTATAAAGCCACTTCATTTTTGCCTGTCATTCTGTTTAGTGTTCTAGAATCTCAATCCTCCCTATCTTATTTCTCTAGATCAGTGGTTCTCAACCTGTGGGTCACAACCCCTTTGGGGGTCAAATGACCTTTTCACATCAGAAAACACATTTCCGATGGTCTCAGGAACTGAGACATCGCTCCTCTGCCTCCAGGTGGGTGCGCCTACATGCAGATATGCCCACATACGAGTACCCAGCATGAAGACTGTTACCCATGCTTCAAGACAAAATTTCATTTATTTGTAATTAGAAATACATATTTCACAATATATAATTATATATTGTTTTTATGATTAATCACTATGCTTTAATTATGTTCAATTTGTAACAATGAAAATACATCTTGCATATCAGATATTTACATTATGATTCATAACAGTTAGCAAAATTGCAGTTATGAAGTAATGAAAATAATTTTATGTTTGGGGGTCACCACAACATGAGGAACTGTATTAAAGGGTCGCGGGAATAGGAAGGTTGAGAATTACTCTAGATAAAGGCTTTTTCCTGGTAGGTAGGCACCTGGCTACTGGTATTTTGGGAGTGAAATAAGGAAGGGTAACCCGATTTACAGAGACTTTGAACTGTCTCTGGATTTCCATCCTCGCCCTCACCGCTGCCCTCCGCTGTTATCTAAGCTGATGTAAATGTTTGTTGAGAGTAGTCAGGATGAACTGTACATTTGCCACTCCTTGGGCAGTCCTCTTCATTTGACAGTAAAAGAAACTTATGGTCTAAGAAGACGGATTTATTTTCTGAAATAGGTTTTTGTTGTTTTTTTTTTAATTTTAGGTTTCTATACTTGAGTCTGCTCAACATCAAGCAGCCAGTGTCCCAATCTTAGAAGAACAGATAATCAATTTGGAAGCAGAGGTTTCAGCACAAGATAAAGTTTTGAGGTAAATAACCTTTTATAACTTAAAAAAAAAAGAATAATTGTATTTTAGGTGCAAGTTTACGCAGTTAAGCTCCCATTTAACAAAAACAAAACAAAACTCACTGCGATTGAGTCAATGCAACCCTGTAGGACAGAGTTAGAACTGAAAGCCTCATCTTTCTCCCACAGAGCAGCTGGTGGTTTCAAACTGCTGACCTTGTGGGTAGCAGCCCAATGGGAAACCCATTACATTAGCAGGGTTTTTTCCATTTAAGTGTTTTATACAAATTGTTCCAGGACATTGTTACAATTTTTACATTATGTCAGCATTCTCACTTCGGCTCTGCTCCTTTCCATCAATCTAGCTTCTCTTCTTTTTCCCGTTATCTTTGTATTTTGGGTAAATGTTGACTATTTGGTCTCATATACTTGATTACTTAAGGGAGCACCTTATTCACGGTGGTAGTTTATTTTATAAGCCAGTCTCATTATGTGGCTGAAAGGCTATCTCCAGAAATAACTCCAGTTCCAAGTTCAAAAGACCGTAGTCTTAGGGATACCCCTTTGGTCTCTCAGTTCCATAAATTGGGCCTTTTTTGGAAGTTTGAATGTTGTGGCCCGTTTTTTGCTCATTCTGTCTTGGACCTTCTGTGTATCCCTAGTCAGAAGGGTAGTTTGTGGTACTGGCACCATCTAGTTCTTCTGGTCTCAGGCAGGAAAAGGCTATGATTCATGTGGGCTGGTAATCCTATGGATTAATTTTTTGTTTGAGTTTGTAGTTTCTTCCATTCTCTTTTCCTCCTGATGAGTATAGACCAGTAATTATTTCTTAGATGGCTAATTGAAAGTATCTAACACCCTAGATGCTAATCACAAAACTAAAATGTAGAATATTTTCTATGCATTTTTATTTCCCACTTCTACTTTTAAGGTATATCTTGACAAATCTTGCCTTCATCTTACCTCAGTAATCTACAGTGACTCAGTAGTTTAAGAACTTGTTGATTCAAATTTATGTAAAGTGCTGTTTTTGATCCATCATTACTCCTTTTGCCTGCAGGTTATATGCATTATATGGGGTTGCAAAAGGCTGAATCTACACTGAAGTTCTTATATGCTTTCATTAAATTAGTCTCTCTTGAGTCTTTACTTCCAACATGGCAAAGGAAAGGAAGAACAGTGGCCGTGCCAAAAAGAACTGTGCACATGAGTAGCCTTTATCTTACACAAACTGTGCCTACTGCATATCCAGAGACAAGTCCAGTAATACATTTGTTTGTTATTGGGAGCTTGCAGCTGCCAGAGACGGATCCAAAGTGAATGTCTTCCATGCATACGTATTAACCAAACTGTACCTGGAACTTCATTAATTGTGTGTTGTGTTATTCACAGTAAGGTGGTCAGGAACCAATTTCATGAAGCCCATAAGGACAGAATGCCCCCATCCTGTGTTACCCAATGACGTTCATCAAAGCCCATGTAAAAATTTGAGTCCTTAAAGACTGAAGAAAGGCTAACTGGAAATAAAATGGATATTGTACTTTAAAATGATTTTTTAATTAGTTAATTTTCTTGTCTCTACATAACAATATATTTTCAGAGCTTATAGAGCCATTTAAGAAAAAATTTAAGGAATCAGCTGCTTTATAATTTAATCTCCCCTCTGCTTAAAATGGAAAGTATAGACATACTAAGTAGCATAATACTCTGTGAGCGATTCTCAAAAGACCAGCAGCATCAGCATCAAGTTGTTGTTTTTTAAATTCAGCATCAACTTTTAAAAATACACATTTTCTTATCCTATCTCAGACTTATTGAAACAGAAAACCTGAGGAATGAGGCCCAGTAGTCTATACTTTAACAAGTGTGATTCTGAGTCACACAAAAGTTGTGCTTCCTGTCCATCCATTTTAAGTTTCTTTGTAATGCATATTGTATTTTAAGCTTCTTAGAGATTTCATATTTTCAGTTGTGAATTTCCCCCCTTTCTGTTCTTAACTTGTATATAACATAGTTATTTTTTAATTGGGCTAGTTGTCACTCTTTTATTAGTTGTTATTTTTCTTTTTAGTTTCTTGGGTTCTCCAGCAGATAGTGATATTATCAGCATATAAAGAATATTATGCCTTATTTTTCATCACTTTTATTTGGTTTTGCTTTATCTCCTAGAGTGGACCTGTCAGAATAGCTGTAGGATCTAGTGATGGTAATAGCCTTATCTAATTTCTGAAGGAGCCCTTACTTGTTGGGCAGTTCAAAACCACCAGCTGCTCTGAAGGAGAATGACAGGGCTTTCTACTCCGATAAACAGTTAAAGTTTCAGAAACTCACAGAGGCAATTCTTACACGCCCCATACGGTCTCTATGAAGGCGCATTGACTTGATGGCAATAAGACCCAGTTCCTAAACTGCATAGCATTTTTTCTGGTACCTGACCAAGAAAGTGATGGTGCTTCAGGTACATTTATCATTTCATGGAAGTAGTACTCTCTTATCCCATATAAAAACTTCTAGTTAACAAGTGATGAATATGATACCTTTCCTCTGTCTTTTACCACTATACCTGGTTCCCTTAACTCATTGACTGATTTTGCATACCTAGAATAATCTCTTTAACCCACTCAAAACCACTCACTGTCATTGAGTCGACTTTGACTCATAGCAACACTGTGGCAGTGTATAGAACTGCCCCTTAGAATTTCTGAGGCTGTAAGACTTTGTGGGAGCAGAAAGCCTCCTCCTTTTCTTGCAGAATAACTGATAAGATTGCACTGCTGACCTTGTGGCTACTAGCCCAACACTAAACCCACTAGACCGTCAGGAGTTCTGAGTCTCTTTAATTGTATGTTTGTTTTTTTAAATTATTTTATTGAGGCTCGTACAATTATCATCACAATCCATACATACATCCATTGTGGCAAGCACATGTGTACATTCGCTGCCCTCATCAGTCTCAAAACATTTGCCTTCCACCTCAGCCCTTAATATCAGTTGCTCATTTTCCCCCTCCCTTCTACCCCTCCTCCCTCATGAATCTTTATAGTTGTTTTTTTGTGTGTGTGTGAAACAGGTCACTTTGCTTTTAATTGTATTTTAAGTACATGGAGACCAGCCCTAGATGAGTCGTGGGCAATTTTCCCCTCTACGGTTCAGTCTCTACCACCGATTTCCCACGATTTGCTGGCACGGGGCATCTCGCGAACGCCGGGGGAGCCTTTATAGTCTTTAAGAATATTCTTTCTTTTATAGAGAAGCAGAAGATAAACTAGAACAGAGCCAAAAAATGGTGATTGAAAAGGAACAGAGTTTGCAGAAGTTCCAGGAAGAATGTATAAAGTTGAAGGTGGACTTACTTGAACAAAGTAAACAAGGAAAGAGGTATGTGTTTTTAAATAAAATATTTATTAAGGAGAAACAGAAATACTACTTGTTTTAAGTTATTTTTGAAGTGACCATTTTCAGAAGTGTCACAATAAAATAACTTTTTTCCATTTAAAATTTTTATGTGTGGATTTTATTTGATTGGCATCCTGAAATGGGGTTAATTCCAAGAAGCTTTATATGTTCAAGGAGCCTTGGTGGCGTAGTGGGCTATGTTGGCCGCTAACTACAAGGTCAGCTGTTCAAATCCACTAGCCACTATTCGGGATTAGGGATCAGGCACTCTACTCCCATAAATATCCGCCGTCTTTGAACCCACAGGGGCAGTTCTCTTCTGTCATATGAGGGTCACTCTGAGCCAGAGTCAACTCGATGGCAGTGATTTTTTTTTTTTTTTTAGTTTAAAACATTCAGTATGAAATACAGAAAAAAGCTTTTACAGTAATAATACTTCTAATAAGACTAAATAAAATATAAGGGGTTTCAAAAAGTTTGTGGAAAAATGGAATTAAATATAATAGAATGTTTCCATGAGCTATTTGAAACCCCTCACATTACGTGAACTCTGTAAGAGAAAATTTGCCTCACAGATGTAATAAGAAAAGGAATGTGAAAGTAGTTGAATTTTCCTTTATGACTACATATTTAAGAATACAAAGAAACCTATTTTCTATAAAGTGGATCTTGAAAGAAAAAGTTTTTGAAGTAGCCTGACCAAGCAATTATTAACTTTAAATGTGAATTAACCATTAAACTATCAAGGTTTAATATTTTTCAGTTCAAATTAATGAGATAGTATAACATATAATAATACACTTCAAGCAGCCTTTACACGGGTAAAATATTCTGTGTTCTTTGACAACAAAAATATTTTTGAAAGACTTATACTATGCTATAAACATAAAAGACTTTTAAAAAGTTTTTTAAGTTGAATAAATATTTGTTTACTGTTTATTTAAATCTCAGTCATCTCTAAATCTGTCTACAAGCCTTTTTAAAAAAATCATTTTATTGGGAGTTCATACATACATCCATTGTGTCAAGCACATTTGTACAATTGTTGCCACCATCATTCTCAAAGCATTTTCTTTCTACTTGAGCTCTTGGTATCAACTCATTTTTTCCCCTGCCTCCCCTCCTCTCCCTCCCTCATGGTCCCTTGATAATTTATAAATTATTATTTTGTCATGTCTTACACTGACGTCTCCCTTCACCCACTTTTCCGTTGTCCGTCCCCCAGGGGAGGGGCTTATATGGAGATCCTTGTGATCTGTTCCTGCTTTCTACCCCATGTTCCTTCCACCTTCCTGGTATTGCTACTCACACCACTGGTCCTGAGGGGTTCATCTGTCCTAGATTCCCTGTGTTTCTAGTTCCTATCTATACCAGTGTACATCCTCTGGTCTAGCCAGATTTATAAGATAGAATTGGGATGATGATAGCTGGGGGGAGGAAGCATTAAAGAACTGGATGAAAGTTGTATGTTTCATCATTGCTTCACGGCACCCTGACTGGTTCATTTCTTCTCCACGACCCTTCTGTAAGGGGTTGTCCAGTTGCCTACAGATGGGCTTTGGATT